TTCCACCAAAAATCTTGGATGCTAAATCATTTTACTAGGTGATGCAACGGATTCGGTCCGCGACCAGATGATGCGGCATGAGCCTGGGTTCAAAACATTTTTCAGTGCGTATCTGAATGAAATTGCCAACTTTGACCTCCAGAACGCCTTTTTGGAGGAGGAAAAGCAAAGCCAACTGTTCCGCATGTTTGCACATGTAAGCTTGACCCGCGACCCTCGTGCGGTAAGGGATATGGTGCCTGAGAAGGTATGGGCAAATCAGCCGCCCGACCCCGAGATTGTGAAGTTGGAAGAGGAGCGCACAATGCTTAAGCAGGGAAGGTATCGAATCGATGGTAGTGAGCATGAAGACAGAATCCGAGCGATCACGGACGAGATCAGAAATAAGAGGACACAGAACGAAAGGAGGGTTGTGAAAGAATATCGCGAATACTATTTCTACAACCGTCCCACCTGGGACATTGAGGCCCAAGCCCGCGGGGAGGTGGAAGAGGAATATGAGCAGCCCGCAATGGACCTCGTTATACCGGAACGGGCAAGATTGGCCAACATTCTGTGTCTGCAACCTGACGACTGGACGGAAACGGAGCTGTTCCAACGCAGAGTTGAGGCCATCGACTTGATGGTGGCTTTATGCGATAAGAAGGAAACTGGCAGAACAAGCCGCACGCAACGCCCAGCCACGGTCGAGGCTTTCATCAAGCAACAGTCACCTGGAAGCGACACATTATCCGAGTCGGAACTTGAGCCAGATCCTTTCCCACTTCTCATGGAAGCAACACAGTGCCCAGACTGCATTGGCGACGAGCAGCTGTCGGTTGAGGCGCGAAAATTTAAGTGGTGCCGTCCGCCGGTACTCAACGACCACTTTGACGGCACGCACTTGGCCCGCCGAGAGACTGCTGCGCAACGTGGTGAGACAATTTGGTGTGGCCATCCGAAATGCAGACAGGAGAAGTTTGTCCATGTGGATCATTTCCGAAGCCATGTTGAGAAAGTCCACGGGGTAAGCCTCAGGACCTCGGACCAAGTCGCGAAGAGGAGACAACGACAGGCGGTGCGCCGTGAAAAAAAACGTAGAGGACGGAAGCAGAAGAGGAGCACAGAGAAGGCCGCCACAAAGACGTGATCGAGCTGCTTGTACTGTACATGTATTAGAATATAAGAGTCAAATAACAATATCGCCAATATTTAGCATTTAAATTTCTCTGTGCCTTACTCAGTAGCTTCTGGCCTGATTCGATGGGTGCTATGGTTAGACACTCTGACATCCTCTCCCCACGCTGCTTTTTTGTTCTGGACAATTACGGTGATGTTCGCCCTTTCTAGGCATAAGCATTAACCATTAGCTAAGCGTGAGCAA